TAATCTCGCGGAAGGAGGCGGCGGAGAGGGCCCGGGAGGACGACCTCCACTCGGACCCGATCCGCCGCCGGCGAACCGGGCGTCGGAGGCCCGCCTACCACAGCCTCATGCCGCCCTGAGTGTGGCCGCGGGTGGACGGGGTGGGTTTCCCCTCCACCCGCATTAGTTGGCCAGCCGCGAGGGGGCGGCGTCCGCGTGTGCCGGACGTCGCCTAAAGAGAGGAAAATGCATTGAGACGGAGCCCGCACCAGGAGCGGGCTGGCGCTAGGAGGGGTCCGGATGTCTTAACAACAGCTGTTCCCGGATCCCTCCTGTTACAGGCGCAGAGTGGCACACTGTGTGGTTTTAGTCGGTCCGAGTCCGACACACCACCCCGCCGCAAACCCCGGAGGGGTGACGGTCCGAGGGGATTTCCACACGTTAAAAAAAAAAAAAAAAAAAAAAAGGGTTTGTGTCAAGTTTTCCTTCTCTACATAAAATAAAATACTCTAACATAAATAAATAGTTTGCTATTACTTTGTCTTCAACTACTAACTACCACCTTCTTCTCGAGCATAACTTGCTCGCAGAAGCAGGTAGCGCACGGTAGGCTGAAAATCGGCTTTCATAGACTTATGGATTTCCATTTGCAAGTGCCATATTTTTTGCTAGATATCGCTTCTATGAGAAATTACCATATACAAAACTGACATCCGAGTTAATTCTAATGCTAATTCTAACAAAGAAGAAGGAATTAGAATTTTTGTACAAAAAAAATGTATGATGCTAGCATGAAAAATCGAATTATCTCTTAAACGGCAAGGTTATAGTAGGTACTAATTATTTATGTTTTTTTTCATTCTCCATATAACGGTTATCGCTGCTGATCCGTAAGGATTACTTTTAGTTTATTTATGTTTGATACGGCTAAGAAAAATCGTTTTAGTCATTTAGTGCAATGCCCAAACTATTTAATAATTTTCTATTTCTGATAAGAAAAGTAGGTTACGAGATCGCCTTAGCTTATACCGTTAAAACCAGTTCTTATAATTCCGACTCTGTTCTCAGTGTATGGTAATCATTTGCTTGTTTAATAGAAATTGCATTGTCACATATGATATAACTAACTTAATTCATCACTTTGTATTAAAAATCGACTGTCATTTCTGCCCTAATACAGTTATCCCTCAAGATCAAGTCAAACATTTGTGAGCATGAACACTTAATATTTGGTTTGGTCTGACAAAAACCCTATACCAACCCGTCTGGCCAGTGTGGTATAGTAGGCCAAAACCTCCTTTCTAAGGAGAGGCCTATGTCCAGCAGTGGACTGTTAAAGGCTGTTGATGATGATGATGATGATGGTCTGGGTAATGTAAAATATGTATATATTTACAAAAGAGGGTATAATATATGTATGTATTTATATCAGTTGTCTGGTAAACATAGTTTATGGACTAGATGGCATTGTGATAATATGGTAAAAAAAGCAGTGAACTGCCATAAAAGTAGATTGAGAATAGAGCCGGAATTTTAAGTACCTACTGGTTTAACTGCTATGAGCAAAGGAGTTCACATTACCTGTATTTTTATCTGAATTAATTGGGCGTGAAGTGGCTTACAGAGGCTCTGCTGAGCAGTCTTAAACATGAATAAACTAAAAGTAACAGGTACGCATCGGTTAAACGATGCCTTGGTGATTAGTCGACATGTATAGCGTAAGGTAATAATTCTGTCTTAAAAAGTAGCAAATAATGAGCAAAAAAATACGTCACAAAGCCTGTTTTGCTAAGTGTAAGAGATCCGGAGATATAGCGATGGCTTAAGTCTCAAGTCAGCAGGACCATTGTTTTTCGGAAATGGAATGAAAAAAACATCAATTCTTACACAAAAAAGTTTTTCACATGACTTTTGCTGTAGGGGTTCGTTGTTTATTAGTAATGGTGTGTGTGCTTATATTTATAACCTGTTAGGGAGATAATTAATAAATTAACTCTATATTTTATATGAAATTTTTGTTGACTTAATTGTGATCAGAAAATTATTGCACTATGTGAAACCATTACGGACGGATGGATGACTCCCATAACACTGGCTTTTCCTAGCATGGGGTCATTGATCAATGAATTTGTGTGTATTCTGTTTTATTTTTCTAAGTGTATTAATAATGTGAAATATTATGGACATGGTTAAAGGTAAATGAATTTCATTTTAATTTAATTTCATTATCTTAATTCAAAAGTTGTTATCATATGGTTTGCTGGATCATTGCTTCATTGGCTTGACTCATACCTAGTAAATCGAACTTTCTTCGTTGTAGCCGATGGTTATAAGTCCAATATATACAAAATTACCTCAGGCGTCCCACAGGGATCGCATTTGGGACCTATACTATTCAATATTTTTATTAATGACCGAATTGCTTCCTCTATTCTACTCCGTACTTGTTCGCGGATGACTTAAAAATAGCTCGTATAATAGAATCAAACATAGATGCATTGCTGCTTCAAAGTGATATTGATAGACTTTTAGAATGGTATAATGATAACAATATGCAACTAAACGTTAAAAAATTATTACAATATAGTTATAATATAAACGGCATACCACCTGGCCACGTAGACACCAACAAAGATTTAGGTTTGATACTCGACTCCAAACTAACTTTTGTTCCCCACATGGATAATGTTGTAAAGAAAGCTTCAAAAATTCTGGCTTTTCTTATTAGAAATAGCAAGCTCTCCTTAAACTAAAATTGTACTGTATTATAGCCTTGTAAGAAGCATACTTGAGTATTGTGTCGTAGCTTGGCGTCCTCACTATGCTGCACATAGCCTTAGAATTGAACGAATCCAAAAGCGTTTCTTAAACCATCTTGCCTACTCTACGGGTCTTGCAAAGAAACAACCAGGCTACTTAAAACGCCTCAAATATTTCAAAATTGACTTACTAGAAAAACGCAGGAACTCATCTGATTTATTATTTTTATTTAAATTACTACACAACAATATTGATTGCCCAGATTTACTTTCAAAGTTTAAATTCAATATACCTCACAAATAGGTATCCCCGAAAACCAATGATGCTCCTGCATCCTCCTTTTCGAAAGTCGGTTTTAGGTTCCAAATCGCCTGTTTCACGGCCAAGCAAAAAATACAATCAAATCAGTAAGCAGATAGATATTTTTGACACAAAATTTCAACGATTTAAGAACCGAGTCCACAACCTTACTGTCGGTTAGCTATGTACTAATTGTTGTTTTATTTGGAGATAGTACCTATCTGTAATATTAGGTTATAGGTTCTACAACCTTTTATTTTTCTACTTTTTTTACAACCCTTGTTAATAGGTAGTATTTTTTTTTAGAGCCATATTAGATTTTATGCATGCGGTGTTTACCTACATAAGTTATGCACTTAGATTAAGGTCAATACTATGTTTTATTTTTTACGAATGTTTTTGTGTAATAATTACTGGTAAACCAATAAATAAATATCATATGCAAAGTGCGAGTAAATAAAAATTTACTTATTTGTATTATTTTTATTTGTCTATACCCCTTACCCTACCCGCCAATCTCCAAATATGTTATAAATATTAGCTCCACCTAGCGGGCTAATGTGAGAAACGCGGCGCTTGGGTACGCTCATTTTAATCAATTTCAAACTTCAGTGGCACATCTATCTCTGTTTTAAAGTGAATTTTTATTCTCTTGTTTATACTTTATTTAACCCAGTGCCATCCAGGTGGAAAATTGTTACACTAACATCCACGTTGGGTCAAAATGACACGTGTTTAGAAAATATCTTATTTTATAAATTAACTAAAAATCTTAATACATACCTGGATTTTATGAAATATTGTTTTATACATTTATATAACAAAATAACAAAAAATGTGAACCAAAAACATTTATTTGTTTATTTATTTTAAAGATACTATGAAAATATAACAACAATAATAAATAAATCTTCTTTAACCCCTTTGATCTTAAAAATATAAAACATTTTGCTTTCAATATAGTTCAAGAACAGAAATAAGACTATCTTGAATAAGTATTTATAAAAATGTAATTATGACGTTAGAATGAACCTAACAATGTTCATCTTTAGTAATAGAATTCGCACATTGTGCGCAGAAGGAAATCAACATAGAAAACTTCTGCCATTTATGGCAGGGATGAGTAGTCTTTCTGTCCTTTCACTGGACATTTTTGACACCCTCTACGAGCACTTGGAATCTTGGTTGGTGGTTCGTCAGGAGTGTCACCTCTGAATTTCCTGATCCTCTTGCGCATGTTATTGGCATTTACTTTGATTCTTGAGCATTTACCTTCCTTGAGTGTATTATGCTATTTATGTTGGTTATGTTCAGCAAAGCATAAAATATAGTCGAAACCATTTCTTTGAGTTGATAACATCAAATGTCGGACACGGTTCACCATCAGTTGCTTACAGTACCTACAGTTGTCAATTTACGCTCTTTGAATAAAAGTATAAGTCCTACTACAATGGCACAAAATTGTTACATTTAATGCCACATTGGGTCAAATTTACCTTATTTTACTTCGCAGACGTCTAGATCACGTAATTAGCTGACAATGACTTAGATACACTGCAAATCTAATAACACGAAGTCTTATCTCCAGCTATAACAAAAATCAATATGTTTGCTTAACTTATTTTGAAAAAATGATCGGATCATTATGAACCAACGTGGATGGCGCCGGGTTAAAGTGGATTGTTAAAATTTATTATCTATGCTTTTTTTATATGGCAACATTGATTACGCGTTGTCATTGATGGCTTGGTTGGTTGGATTTCGGTTTTCATGGCTTAGACAATCTTAGTTGATGTGATGGTATTAGAATCAGTTATTTACCTGGTCAAGTAGCTTTTAATCGTACTTCTTTTGAAAATTAGAGATTTATACGGTTCTCGTTCAAGAATTGTGAAACAGGAATCACCGTTTTGTCATAGATTGTGACACGGGGAATAAACCCGTGTTGTCGGTGTTTTAGAATGGCAGAATATTTAGCTGCTATATTTGGTACAGAAAAAGACAAGTGAGTAAAACTTGAAATATAAACTTAATTATTAGATATATTTACTATAAATTTTCTATATTTCTTGTATTCTTTCCATTTAATAATAAATACTTTCGGGTTGTGAGGTTAGTTTGGTTTTCTTTGCCACTTTTCTTGCTGTGTGTTTTAATAATAATTATTTATAATGAGTAATCAATTAATTCATTTAAAAATATTAGAGTTCATTTCATCTGTAATATTAACAATTATATGATAATAATTAGGTGTATTTCTGAATTGTAAAACAATATTTATTTCAGAGTAAATTGTTCCTTTTACTTTAAAATTGGAGCATGCCGACATGGTGACCGCTGTTCTCGAATTCACAACAAACCAACATTTTCACAAACAGTACTGTTACAAAATTTGTATGTGAATCCTCAGAATTCTGCCAAATCTGCTGACGGCAGTCACTGTAAGTATATGAGATAGTGTTAGTATGACTATCTTGCTGTTATTTTTATATGGATAGTATGACTACCCATGGTAATTGTTTATGGTAAAATAATTAGTACAATTAATACAATAAAAGTAAGAATATTGTCCGAGGCAGCCTTCAATTGATATTTAAAGCTTTCTTCACTTCACTAAGTGCTTTTTTTCAACTTATTTTGTAATGTTGAAATACTAGTTAAAATAATTTCTCTTAGTTCAAATATAAGGTTGCAATTTTGAATGTTTTTCTGGGACAGACAGATAGCTGCTTTGCCCCCGCATTACAAAGATATTCTAAGATATTCATTTTAATGATTATGCTGTAAAGGACAACTTTGATCTACATTTAATGGAAAACATATCTAGCTTACTTTATTGAATAAGGAATAATACTGTATTTTTTGAAATTGCTTTGTAAATAACCTATTTTTTTTTGGAATAAGTAAAAGAAAAATATGGCAGGCAAAAACCTACATTGCAGACCCTTTTTGTAGATCGCTTTAAGATAATTATACAGTTCTATAGTAGGTACATTATTTTGATGTATCTCATATGGTTTAGCCAGCATTTACAATGTAAGCACACAAAAACATGTTTCCGATGCCATCACATGAAACATCTTTGACATCCTCAGCTTTTCTCTACTGTAATATGCATGTATGATACATATAAACCTTCCTCTTAATTTCCATTTGTTTATTGATTTAATATTTTTTAAAAGCTATTAATTCAACATTCATAAGATTCAAACAGTGTTCACTTTTGGTAGTTCATTTAGTTCCAAAGATTGACTGATAGCTCCTTTTAAATATAAGTCAGTGGGTGTTTTAACTTAATAAAGGTTTAAATGAAAAGATCATGGAAATGTTTTGAATTATTTGAATCTTATTAATCTAGATATGTTAACTTGTGTAGAGCCCATAGTGCAAGCTGTACTTAATTTTTCGATTTTAATTTTTTATTTTCAGTAATAAAAGAAACTGGCATCATGGGTAAAACATTAATTTTCTCAACAGTAGTGCACTGGATGGGGGTTTAAAGTTCAAACTACACTCAATTTATTGCAAATAAAAAATCTTGGGGATAACATTAACACATCTATCTATACAGCAATGTGTTATTTTTTTGTAATATTTAATAACTAATGTATCTGTGATTTATCTAACTGATGATCTAGCTTAGACGTTAGGACATATGTCTATTATTTCTGTTTTAGAGGCCTAAACATTATGTAATGTTTGTTTACAGTGGTTGTAGCTAATGTGTCCGATGAAGAGATGCAGGAGCATTACGATAATTTCTTTGAAGATGTATTTGTAGAGTGTGAAGATAAATACGGAGAAATAGAAGAGATGAATGTATGCGACAATCTCGGTGACCATTTAGTTGGGAATGTTTATATTAAGGTGAGCATATTTCAATAAAATATATTTTTTATTTTTCAGTGGTGAATGAACACTTTTTAACACCTTGTGTTTATAAAAACTTTTGCCAGTGCTGAAAAAACACACTGTCATTTTTTCAATCCACAAGTGTTGGCCACAAAACTCTTGTGTTTCATACACATCAACAGCCTATAACAGTCCACTGCTGGACATAGGCCTCACCTTAGAAAGGAGGTTTTGGCCTACTATACCACGCTGGCCAGACGGGTTGGTATAGGGTTTGTTTCAAGTTTTCCTTCTCTTTGCAGTGCCGTTGTCCTGCGTAGTTTGCTCCCTCAGTCGGCTCTTACGACACCCACGGGATGAATAGGGGTGGTGACATTACGTATTCTTATTCCGTCACCACACGGACACGTTTCATACAGCAGTGCTAATAACATACACGTTTCCGATGAGCGTGCTCTCACCGACACCCCTTGTCTTCCGTTCGGGAGTTCTGAAAACATTGTGTATAAATGTTTCTATTTCGTTTATTTTGTCCAATATGTGTTCTACGAAAACAAATAAAGGGCAATTCTTTTCAAAATGTTTGCAAAATAACAACAGTACAATGAACTCGCACGAAGATCTTACTTACTTATACTTCATTAAAAATATCTTGTAAGTTTATATTAAATGCAGCATATTATATTTTAAAGATAAATTAGTTTCATATTTATTCGTAGAACACATTAGACAAAAGAAATTATATGAATATTTATTATATATTTTTTTTGTCATGTGTTGTACTACACTACTGTTGTACTACAAAATTATGTATTACAATATGATAGGTCTCAAACCTGTTGTCTGTACAGGGTAGTAATTGGAATGGAATCTGGTCTTAGTAGGTCTGAGTTAAATTGTTTCGAGACTTCATAAAAACAAAATTTATCATAAATTTTTGCCATCATCATCATTACTTCAAAAAACTCCATGATTACATATTTGGAAAGTAGCGATGTTTGTTTCAGAATGAAATACTCAAATAATATGTAATCTGAATTTTAGTTCCGTCGAGAAGAGGATGCAGAGAAAGCTGTGAACGATTTGAACAACCGCTGGTTTGGCGGTCGGCCGGTGTATGCGGAGCTCTCCCCAGTCACGGATTTCCGTGAAGCCTGTTGCCGCCAGTACGAGATGGGAGAGTGCACACGTAGTGGTTTCTGCAACTTCATGCATCTCAAACCTATTTCTAGGGAACTTAGAAGGTGAGACATATTATCAGCTATTAGTTTGTTAAAAAGCTACCAAATAACAAACTGAATCTTATCTTTAATCCAAAAAGTTAGAAGTACAAAATGAAATTTAAAAAAAATTCATAAAAAAACTAGATTTGCTTCTCAGTTTTAGCTGTGTTGCTTTACTGCTGGTCCTGTTCTTGAGGGTTGTAGCATGAAGTTACATAGACTATACCCTTTCCCAATTGATACTCTATTCCATACAAAAAACGCCTTGAAGGCATTGACCACTAAATGGCTCTATTTCTATCCATTGCATAGATCTGATCTATTTTCTGATTAATATATTGATTTTAATACTCACATTGTTGTCAGTTACATCTTATTTAGAAATCTGAATGGTGAATAAAGTAGTTACCAAGCACTGAACGTTCCACATAACAGATATGCTTCAGTGAGACAGCTTGTTGAAATATGTGAAAAGAAACCCAGGAAGGGTTTATCATTTCATTCCTATCAATGTGACTCCTTTGAATTAGCATCTATAGCAGTGACGATATACTCGTAGGATATCCTTTGATATGCCATTAAACAGGAAGTTTTTATTCTTCGAAAGCAAAACAGAGACCCTTTTAGTATTACTATTGTCCACCTATCTGTCTGAATTTCTTGGTCAAGACCCCCTTCTCAATAACGTTTTTAAAAGATACATAACATTAGCGAAGTCGGAGTACATTGGCGGAATTGCTGACAGAATGGTGGCTCTCCCTTCTGGAACTCATGCATTTTGTCTTTTGCTTAGGTTGTCTAGGGAGATGTTTAGTAGACCATCCCTTTCATCTGCACATGCGACATAATTCGTTGGCCTATGACAGATACATCAGAGTGGCTTGATCCCCTTTCTTTTTTTTTTCGTGCGGCAATCCCCTCGGATACCACCTATCGGTGGCATGTCGGACTCGAACCGCCTGAAACCGCACGCCGTCTCGGGTACTAATAGCCGGGGAACCAGGTATACCCTAGAAAAGAAGTCCCTGGTGCCCCGACATACCTCGGGCCATCTACAGACGAGTGGACGACCCCCCCCCCCCCCCCCCCCCCCCCCCCCCCCGTGAGGCTTGATCCCCTGGCGTACTCGACATACTTTATCGCGTGTATTATGAGAGGTGCCTCAAGGAATTGTTCGAAGCTACCGACCGCAGCTTTCTACCGTCATTCAACGCTACAAAACTTCCATCCACATCACTTGATTGAGATATTATGTTTCGCTTCAGCACTGGGTGCGAAATTGTCTGTGAAACATATTGCCGCCCACATGTATATCATTATAAAAAAATCATTTTGAACGTGGTCACTGGTGACTAGACATTCGTAAGGGCCAAGGGACATTTATAATTTTATCCAATTTTACACATAACGTACACCATGTGCTCGAATGATTCAAAATAGTTGTAAAAGCAGTATTAAATTGATATTTTCTTTCAATGTTAACAAAAATATGGAGAAATTCAATGGCTGTGATCACAAAGTGTACCTTTTATAAGTGTTAGTAGTTAGTATTTAATGAAATATAATAATAATATTTCGTAACCTGCACTCAACGCCATCTAGTTTCAAACTAAGCAGAGCTTGTACTATGAAAACTAGATTGAATACTTTTTTTTTGTAAAAACATACATATTATACATAGAAAACACCCACTCCGAAACAAATATTTGCAGATCATACTAATATTTTGTCCGACTCGGAAATCCGGGAATCGAACTAATAACGTTCATTCACCAGCCGTCTTGGATATTTTAACATACACCGGTGCATTTAAACAAACAACATACACGTTAATTAGATCTTAATTTCAATTCTTGAGACTCCATTAGTATGTTCAACATTTAGAGACTAAGTACTAAACACAAAGGTTATAGAAATATTTGACTTAAATTTATAGCGAACAGTGAACGCCCGACATTGATAATTTTTTTGTTGATACGTATAATCATTAATTATTAGCTAGATTTAGATTATAGTTGGACCTTACCTACCACCACTAGAGTCGAGGTCCATCTGGCTATCTTATTTAATACGGGTGGATTAGATCTAACTGTATTAGTACGATTCGTTTCGAATCCGTTTTCTTAACACGTCAGTGTTAATGTAGATTTTAGAAAAATAAAGAAACATAACTTTATGTGGCGCAGTCGGATAAGAATAAAACAAACTCATTCGCACAGGTATATAGAGATGTGAATAATGGATGAAACTTAATTGCCAAGGTTCACTTACAGACATCATATTTGAAAATGTATTACGAAGATGTTACGTTTATTTCTGCAAACGAGATAACATTGTTTGTATGACACTGTTAATTTGATATAGGTTTAATTTATTTATAGTTTGTACACCCACTGCAAACTGGGAAAACCTGAAGCATATGTTTACACTGAATTAAAATTATTGCTATCAGCACCAAAAATTAAATATTGCATTTGTTTTTCCTTAATTTGCAGTTTACGTGTATAGTTTGTAGTATCTGAAGATGGGATAGTGCTACAAGCACTATTATTATATGACCGCTATTAACCGGTTTTACTTACTAAGATGTTGTACGTTTTCGAAGGGCGGGTATGTCCGCTATTTAAACACAACCGCCACAACGTCGTTTAAAGCGATTAGTGATGCTCAAAGTAAAAAACAGTTGCACTTAATGCGCGTGGCGGGGTTGATTTTTAATTCAATATGTATGTAAGTTTTTTATAGGTGACATCTTTTCTTTTTGTGCTTCAAAAAACAATTAGTTAAAGCGTGTCTGTAAAAACACACAATTTTTTATTGGAGCATTAACCGCGGTATTACTTTTACCTAAAAGACGGTACCGGCCACACGTAATAGCTATTTAATCAATTTTATAATTTCAGGGTTAATAACAGCGGAGTGGTAGTTTAGAAATTCCTGAGTAATGTTTCACATTTTTAAACTCATTAATGAGATTTGAGTCGTTCGTTCCCAGATACCTGTACTCGCGGCGTAAGGGCGGCGCACGTCGGTCTCGCAGTCGGTCCCGCGAGCGCAGGCGGCGATCCCGCTCGCGCGAGCGCCGCCGCGAACCGCCGCGCAACTCGCGCTCCGGCCGCTACTGACCGCCACTCACCGCCACTCATCACCGTCGCTCATCACCGCCACCTTCGACCTAGCTCACTTATCGTACAGTCTTCAGCGGTGCCGATAAATTTGTAGAGTCAATTATACGTGTAGATGCACTTCCGGAATCGGCATCATATGCCACATCCCTCACGCTCTGTAAACTGTAATAGATTTTACAATAAATCCATTACGGTAACTATAGAGATCGGGTTTCTATATTCTTACTTCTTCAATTCTTCTTTCCTACTAAATTGTAAAAGGGGTGATTCGATTTCGGTTCGTGTGAGCGATTCTAAACTTCGTCATTAGCAGCCGACGCAGAGGTGTTTATGCAATTGAGGGGATAGTCGGTATCATCTCACACCGTCTGTGCATATCAGGTGAAACGAAGTTAAACACAGTCGCCTTGAACATTACAGTACATTTTAGTCATAATTTTAATATTATCTTCCGATTTATTGTGAAGATAAAATTTTATGAACTATTTGCGAAAGTGATCACACCTAGGTCGAAAATGTCGTAAGTGTAGGTGTACAAATGCATTAGTTTTTATGAAATAAGTTAATATTATACGACGTTTTGGATATAATTAAAATTTGTATTGTAAGCAAGCATTGAGGTGTTTTCTCGACTACATGTTTGTTACAGAAATGTTATTCCTGCAATACCATACAATTGGTCAGAATATCCATTATAAAGAATTAATGTTTTTAGTTTTACAGTTGGTAAATATATCAACAGATAAATTTTCTGAAATATGTCTAGCATTTTAATTAAAATTTTCCTCTGGATTTACCAGTGGACCAGTAACTATCTTGAACAGTATAAGAAAAATGTGGATGATAAATAAAATCAATATAAGATTTAATTTCTATAATACTGTTTTATTTTTAAAATTGTCTCTCCATTAAAGATGCGATCTGTAAATTTTTTATCGGCAGATATAGTCTCCTGTCAAGCCTGTCAAGCGGTCGTGGCTCATGCTATTTAAGTATATAAATTATAACTTGTTAGGTATGTGGGTAGATTGGTCCGGACGGCTTAATAACACATCGTGTGGTTTTAGTCGGTCCGATTCCAACACACCCCGCCGCAAAACCCCGGTGGGGCGACGACGCGAGGAGGTTTCCACTCGTAAAAAAATATGTAAGTAGATAAGTAAAGTTTATAATGTTGGAGGTGGTTTTGTGATCGCACATCACAACATTAAGCTGCTACGCTAGGAACCTTGGATTCAATATCCTCACAAAGAAAATATTCCTTGACGTATTGCATAGCGGTATCTAGAGGCAAACCAAATAATTCATTCTAGAATACTGATAAACATTTAGATATAACATGTATGTATGTTATACGTATAGAATGTTATTCAACATACATTTAGACTAATGCAAATTAAAGTGTTCATACATGTTTTGTTATTTTCAGAACAATAATAAATTCTATATGTAATTAGCTGACCCGGCAAATGTTGTTTTGCCATATACATTATTTCAAAAAAAATTGTCAAAATAATAATAATAGGGGTATGAAATAGATGTTGGCCTATTCTCAGACCTACCCGATATGCACACAAAATTTCACGAAAATTGGTCCAGCCGTTTCGGAGGAGTATGGTAACTAACATTGTGACATAAGAATTTTATAAACAGATAGGTACATAAGTTTGGCTGGAAATATTAACACTCTTCATACTTCCTATGCACCTAATCCCTAAAACTACCCATAGGCCTATAGCCATAACCTCCTTGTTCTCGAAGATAATGTAATACATCAACTGCCTACTAGCTTTTCAATGACCGTCAATACGACTGCCGTCGGGGACTGCTGGTGATCTTGTCGTATACCTAACTCCGATCCGATCAAAGGCCTACGCCTTTTTGTGGGTATGCCACAAAGCGCTATCATTGAACCTCCCTTCCTATGGAAAGCTCCTTTGATTTCCCATCCTCGAAGAATTGTGCAAATTAACCACCAGTTTACTTGTAGACAAAAGCATGAAGGACGGTGCATGCTTCCAGTCCAAGCCTGTTAATTCTGGTGTCCCAGAAGGCCTATCCCTTACACTGTTTCCTTTGCATATCAACGATTTGTCACAAACCCGTAGTATCCATTGCTATGCAGATGATAGCACAGAAGATGACTTTTATACCGGACGCGCTATCATTTCTCAGACAAACATCATCGATTACCGAAACAAAGTTGTGTTTGAAATCGAAACCTTAACGGAAGCCTAAATTTACTTTAACCCTATTGTTATTTATTAAAATAATCCATTTTATGTTAACATAATTTGTACTTTATTTGTTATAGGTAATACTTCCATTTCCATCAAATAAATATATTGGAGAAACATTCTAGGTCAACTTTAGAAACTATTTTATGAAAAAGTTTCAAATAATATTTACAATGCCCATATCTTTACAGATTTTTGGCACTTAGTTATGTTTTTATAAATCACAATGTTTAGAAATACTTATTTGTAAGTACTAAATTGTAATTGATCGTAAATATTTTCCCAGAATTTCATGTTTTCTGCGCTCGGGTTTTGATAGTATTCCAATGTCTTTCCTATAACGACGTAATTTCGTTCCGCGTCTGTAAATGGTCTCCATTCTTCGTTCGTAGTTGGTTTCCTGAAATGATATTCATAAGAATTCATTACAATATATTAATATTTATTAGAGCTTGACTTAGACGTGTTTATCTCATTTATAATCTACCAATATTACTCTCCTCTAGGAAATAGCATTATTACAAGGTTTATTTTTTCAGTAATAATAGGAGATTACTTAGTATATAGGCAAATAAATTGGTCATTACATTTTAATTACACCTATTATACTATTTTTGTAATAGTATACAAAATACCATGAGTATTTATATAAAGCAGTTCGTAGTGAGAGACACGTTTTATATAGAAATGAATTATTTAAACTATCAAAATGTGGTATGCTTTTAGCCGTGGAATTGGTGGCGACAATATAGATTTTATCAATCTATTTGGGATCCTCTCGGTGCCTAACCGTTTGTTTGGATAAAAAGGTGCATCTATGTTTGTTGTTGATGTGTAGGTACATTTTCATCGGTGTAGCAATTATCGTCTCAAAGTAAATTCAATTCTTTTAAATCCAATTTTAAAATGTGACTTACCCTGTGGCAGCAAAATTGACCCATAATTGCACCATTTGTTTGATAATGTATCTTGATTCGTCAGTCAACGGGATATCTAAACACGTGATGTTGAACTGATACGGTAAATCGTCAGCATGACATACACCTTTTATAAAATCCATCTTGTAACTTCTTTTTGTATAATTTCTTTCGGTCTCTGCTACAAATTTGTAAAAATAAACGGGTTCTGTAGCGTATTGACTGTGATATCGGGCATATCTAAGTTGATTGTACAGAAACATTTTATCAGTTTCTAGATCTGAAAGCTCCTGGTAACTGTCTGCCTTTAGTTCCTTATGTTTGAAGTAATACATTCGTATCTTTTCATCAGCCTCTTGTATTTTTTCAACCGGCCACTTCAGTTTCAATTCTCTCGGTACAATCGAACCTTCTTTAGCGTAATACCCGATAATACTAGGTAGCTTCCTTGCTATTTCAATACCCTCGCCTGAAGTATATCCAATGATAAGGGGGACGTTTGCAATGTCGCCTCTGCCAACTAATTCATATGGTAGTTCTGCTAAAAACCTAGTATCGACAGGCCCGGCTTTTTCAACTACCGGACCAAATAAAATGCTATCACATAAGTCATTATACTTTATATTTTCTAATGAAGGCAACTCTATTCTAAAAAGAGATGAAACAGGCTGACTTCTCAAAAAATTGAGAAGTTCAACTGGGTCGTCGGTTTCCTTTCCGAGTAATTTTCCTAATTGAAAAGCCCTTTGACGGCCATAGATGTTGTAACACCATTCATTAAGGCAGATACCGCTTTGGCAAATAGCTTTATGAAATAGACCTCTACTCATTTTGGAAATTAAGTGACAACTGACGGAGCCAGAGCCTGCGCTGCAACCGAATAAAGTAATATTGTTGGGGTCTCCTCCAAACACTTTAATGTTGTTTTTAATCCATTTCAAAGCCATCACTTGGTCTTTCATGCCAGCATTACCCGGCACTTCTTCAGTATCCAAACATAAGAAACCTAAGACCTCCAACCTGTAATTTATTGTAACTAATACCACATTATGGGCCATAAAAAAATCTGGGCCATAATAATCAGAGTTACCGGAACCTGTGTAAAAACCTCCTCCGTGGATCCACACCATTACAGAAAGAGGTTCCTTTGGTTGCAATGATTTGGTGTACACATTAAGATAAAGACAATCTTCACTGCCGGGCTCTACACGATTCATGCGTTCATTGAACTGCGGACAGACCGCGCCGTGCTCCGATGCGTCACGAACACCTATCCATGGGTCCGGTGGCATGGGTGCCTGTAACAATAATTACTTGCTAGAGTTGTAAAGAGTAAATAGTAAGTTATTTAAATATGGTATTTTACAGTTAAGCAGTATTTTTCAGTTAGGCAGTATTTTACAGCTAATTTTACAATACAGTGTAAGTTGTAGGAAGGTACCTTTTAGAACTTGTTCATGTTGTATACTTCATTACCGGGAATATTTTATAACGTGATGTTGTTTTTTTTATAAAAAAGTTTTACACATAATTTTATATATTTCAATCGGATATTATCAATCATAAAAACTTGATGTTGTAACGTGTATGTGCTGAACTCGCATATAAACACACTTATTTAAATGTTGCCTGCTATTGAAAAATATCATTTGTCTCGTATAAACGCATCGATCTCTTACAGAATATTCAAACGGTTTTGCCATGTGTTTATCTCATTAGGCTACAAGTAGGTAGATGTTTAATAAGGGTAAACGAATTAAAACGCCTGCCATAATCTACTATTCTCATCTTAGGTAATGTGTACAGGTAGGTATATTTACAGCAACATTCTGAGTAGATGTGCTTACTATGGTAATGTAATGATAATCTAATAGGTTTACAAGAGAGATAATGAAATATGTTTTTTTTATTACTGCGGAGGTGTCTTGGAGTACTACACTAAAATTATTTCCAAATGTGTCCATAGTCTCGAAGTGAATACTAATGTGAACGCTCAGGTATGCTTTAGTCTGAAATGAAAAAAAAAACGTTAAGAAGGTATGTACTTACTGTGTAGGTATCTCATTACTCACTTTGAATCTTAATTCGCCAAGAGGTGGCTTGGCGTATGGTATGCCTTTAAAAGCAATATAATTTTCCACACCGCTACAAGCAGCCCCCTTCAATTCTCCATATTCCGTTTTTACAAGTAGCATATCTCGATTTTCTCTGGGAATATCAATTTGAATTCAGGTATAGGTATATAAAAACTTATTATCTCAGAATTAAAGTTTCAGCATACTGATACAGACTAAAACTAGTAGTGTACCTGCTTAGGAATTGACAGTTGGTGTAGTGCCAGTAGTTATTAATATAATATATTATTGGGCATATATTAGGAATGAATATTGCGTTATACGTTTACGTAACCTTGTAGATATACCTACACAGATATATAACAATAAATGAACGGAATGAGTGTTGTGGTTGCAGTTGTCAGATATACCTTGATTTACCGTTTCCGTGACAATTGGAAGTTTAGCCATACTGATAAATACATATGAAAATTAAAACTGGAATATGGAAATAGGGTACTCAATTAAGCCTGGATAATATTCATGTTTGCTGTATATTTTAGTTGTGGAATAAGAGTGAATAAGGCTTTCTGTATTAATAGACACCTAGGTAACCCTACGTTAGTTTGGGTGAACTAAGCATAGATTAAATAAACCATATGTTTATGCACAAAGCCTCTGGAAAGTTTGATAATGTAGGTACCCAATACGACACAACCTAAAACTATACGCACAGCCATATGTGTAAGAAATACTTATTATTTATCAAACATAGCACGGCTAAGTTTATATAGGTACCTAATAGACATTAGACACTGGTTAGACGCACACACACTGTTGCTCTAGCACTTGTTCCTACTTGACTGTTGAAGTCGAACCACGGCAGTCGTTATCTAAGGCCGTGAGTAAACGGTGCCGCCTCCGCGCCGACACCGCACCGCCGCCGCACCTCCACGTTATGTACACGAGACGCGTAAACCGCGCCGCCGCCGCTTGGTATTGTCATTAATAGGGTTAGTAAAAGATTGCTAGCCACAAAGATCACACATGTCATGTCCAGTTTAACGAAAAAGAAAGAAGTTAGTGTTAGCTTACTATATATACAGAAAATGGCAGGATGAACGTCGTGAGTCCCTTATAAAAGTTGTGGGTAAATCAAATTTTTCACGTGCACGTTCTTAGGCGACCGGTAATGAAATAAATAACAAAATAGCATCATTAGCATCTGCGTGGCGGGGGCCGCGGCGGCGGCGGGCTTTACGGGTCTCGTGTACATAGCGCGGGGGTGCGGCGGCGATGCGGTGTCCGCGCGGAGGCGGCACCGTGTACACGCGCACTAATAGCGCAGGATGTTGACTTTTGTATTTACTGCCATTGATGAAGTTTGATGCAGTCTGCACGTGTTACATTACCTTGCCTTTAAGTAGCTAAAATATTTGTAACTCGTTTACTGTATATGAAAGAATACGACCGGATTACAAGTGAAAAAATAACACAAGAGAGTAGGTTTCCATAAGTATGTTTATAAAAAGAATTAATAAAGAAAATTTTGTAAGCTTCTCTTTCTAAAAATATTCTTGTATCTAATTTAGTGAAGGTTATTGTTAAAGGTACCTAGCTGCCATAACAACCACTGACTGAAGAGTGTGAAATAATTACCATAAGTACGTAAGTCGGTATGTACCTATTGTTCGACTTCAATCTTTAATAGAATAGATGTCTCTAAATTTTATTTTTGAGCTAAATTACGTGTATTTTCGATGACAGATTAATATGTAGTATTATCTGCTCATCTTTCTAATCAATAAGTATATTTTAATCTGAAGTACCTACCTACCACTAAGATTACTTAAATGTAATTGTAACTACAATAATATAATGCTTCTTACCCTGTCGAATCGTTAACTATCGTTGTTATCTCTTGTAATTACATACTGTATGACACACGACAGTAATAGAATTTATAAAGAGGACTTTGGCCGCGCGGGTAATTTTTATTGCAGTGACGTTTAGACAAATAAAATGGCAGTATTATTGACAACAATGTCAAAAAACAAAATTTAAAAAGTCATCCATGGATTAAGAAACAGCGCCATTGATTTGGATGCAGTAGTAGGTACCTACCTTGCACTTTAAAGCGCTTGTCTCAAAAGTCCGCATTGCCGTGATTATGTCCAACCTCCGATAGGAGAGGAAACGAAGAAGAAGAAAAGATATTGGTAAAAATAGGCAAAATGGCGAGCAATGCTAGTAGAGCTGCAAAACCTAGTGCAACCCAACATAGTCTAATAGATGGATAATTGAATGCCATCTGAGAACGGAATGTTTGTGTAGTAACTAACTCTTTTACCATTAATTAATGTATAAGCTCCTAATAAAAACGATTAACCAACATAGGTACAGAGCACAAGCTTCATACTTCTGAATGGTTGGTATTTTGTATGTTAAATTGGAAGCATATACCATGTATAGTAATTTGTGTGGAATTATAAAGGATAGTTACGTTCCCAGGTTCCAAAATAATTAAACATTATAACATATAAATACAATTTATAAAATTTCGTGTTTTTTTTTTTAAATCTTATTATTTTTCTTTGCATTTATGAGACAAGAACGCTTTTAGTACCTACGGCTCTGCAATAGATTTTTTTACCCGTGAATACAGAAGTGTGTCGCATTTTTTTACTCCATCACGCGAAACGCGAATAAGGAAAACCTAGGATAAAGAGCTTTTATTTATCTTCTATTAGATCCTTCATAAAAACTTACCATGAATATTTAGAAAAAATGAGTTTTATTTTAAAGAATTGCACATAGGCCTATAACTTTGTTTCACAATCACAATGTGTTTAGTTTAGTAGTCCATAAAATATATTTATAATAATAATAAGGGTAAAAAAATTATACTAAAGAAAATAAAAACTAGAGGAATCGGTAAACAAAGAAAATTACAAACCAAAAAGTGTTTTTGCGTATCTTTATATATATAACTCTTCTGTGAGTGTGTATGTCACTGAACTTCTCTCAAACGACTGGACCGATTTTGATGACATTTTTTGTGTGTGTTCAAGGGGATCTGGGAATGGTTTAGATTCACAATTTTGTCCGCTGGACAATGTTTTTTTAATTATTTTTAATTTATTAGTAGTTGTTGATTTTGGAATGTTTTACATTGGATCAGACAGACGGCGCTACCATCGCAGTGTCAAATTTGACAGGACAACGTCTGTCGGGTCCGCTAGTTTTATATATAGGTATAAGTAAAGTTATTTTAACTTGGGATGCCTTACACCTGCTATATTAAATAGTCTGCCAATAAACATACAGATATATTAGAATATACATATGTTATTATTGTCGTAATGGAACACATGATATGGCTCATTGTGATGAGCCAAAATTCCATAGTGAAAATCTAAACCGTGGGTCGTGGCCTAGTTATAAATAGTCCAATAGTTTCGTCGGAATGAAACAAAAAATAGGGGTAAAAGCAGCATTTCACACCCAATATTTTTTTTATCTTTCTTTTTCAATAAGCACTAACACACACAAATATTTAAACTATAATGCTGTGCGCATATTAAATATTATTTTTGGGCAGACGCGCACTTAAAAAAACTAGTATAGACATACTTACAAATAATAAGTCTTATTCCTATCTTCATTCTGTGGGTGTTCGCCACTTCATCACAAATTACAAAATATCGATAGCTAATGCTTCTTTATTTAAAACAAACAGTTCCCAGGAATAAGAATTAATATCAAAGCAGTATCGTACGTATATTCTCAATCTGCTAGCGTCAACTATTTATCATTAAATAATATGAGACAACAGAATACTTTATCTTATCATGTCATGTAATATTATAACAGAATTATTATACTTTATTGTACATAACAATCACACTTCACACATAGAGTACATGCCATGTGCAAATTCGAATTCAACCCAACCCTACTAATATTATAAATGCGAAAGTAACTCTGTCTGTCTGTTACGCTTTCGCGGCTAAACCCCTGACACGGTAACTGAAATAGACGTTGCCGGGCAAAGGCAAAAACTACTAGTTAATATTAAATAACAAGTTGGGGCAAAATCATTTTTACTTACAAAATAGAAATATGGAACTAAAGTTAAAGGAATTCATGTTTGGATATAGGTACATGTTTTACTGGATCAATAAATATACATTCAATACGCATTATAAATACATACTTATGTTTGTAATTTGAGGGGCCTCTTGGACTAGTGGTTAGTGACCCTGACTGCTAAGTCAGTGGTCTTGAGTTCGATTTCTACCCAGAACAGATAATTGTGTGATGGGCACGACCATTTGTTCTGTTCTGTGTCTGGGTGTAATTTTTATATTTAGAAATATACATGTATGTTTACAAGCAGTCTGGTTGCCATAGTACAAGCTCTCCCTAGTTTGGGATCAGACGGCTGTGTATAAGATGTGTGAGGTTATTATTATTAACACATAAAAATAAAAGCAATGTATCAAACAAATATATTTCTACATACATAATATGTATATAAACACATAAAAAGTTTGATTGGCCACGTCGAGATGATGTAAGATTGGTTAATGAAAATGGAGAAAAGTAGAGTAGAACGCCGTCTTGACACCCACGAGTTACCTCGTCAGACCACTGATAGACAACCCAAGATAAGAGTTGAACCAAACGATTACAAAATTACAGAAAGAGAAGATAGGATAAATAAGAGTTAAAGGTGCTATTGATGGCCAATAATACTAACACTGAGAGGAGATCTATTACTTAATATTTTATTAGAAAATCTAATACAATTAGAATTATTAATGATCTGAAATCAGTACATTGTAATATTGTAATATCTATAACGTTGTCGATCCCGAAGTAGCTGGAAGTGAATTTTATCAAATATCCATGCACAGAAACTCTAGAACAGTTGCTATTAATCGTTCCCAGCGTTCTATGAAACCTTGAATAACGCCTGGATTAATGAGATGCCGGAGAACACAAGACAACCTCCATCTTGAAAGCAAATAAAAACCCGAGGACGTCATTTGTCAAGAGGCCCAATTATTAAAGGGTAACATTGAGAGAAATCAATTAAGCACATCTGTAACATGTCAAACAACCATTCAACACCTATAGAACTAACAAAAACTATCCCGATCCCGTTACGACGCTTAATATTTGCAATCAATAGTTTTCAAACATTGGGATAATATTAGCTGATCACGTGCTTGTTCTCTTGCCTCGGACTACATTTCTTCAAATGCACCAACTAAAGGTAGTTCCTTTTTCTTGCAACCAACAGACCCTCCTGAAGTCATTAAACTTATTGACGACCCTAAAAATCTCCACACTTCAGATCTCCGGGCCTAGACGCTTTCTCTCCTAGTTTGATAAAAATAATTAAAAAAATTATCACTGACCCACTAACGTTAATTTTCAATCTCAGCCTGAGCTCAGATGTTATTCCTCAATGCTGGAAGATTGCGGTTATCATTCCTATACATAAGGATGGCGACAAGTCAGTTTCCAATAACTATAGACCGATTTCCCTCTTAAGCTTAATATTTTCTAAACTCCTGGTAATAATTGTAAGTAAAAGATTAATAGACTTTCTCGAAAACTACAAACTATTCTCAGAAAAATAATTTGGCTTTAGACGTAAAAAAGGCACAGAAGATGCTGCAGTATCTCTGGCGAACACATATCCAAATCTCTAAACAACAAAGAATGCTGCTTAGGAGTTTTCCTTGACTCGTTAAAGGCTTTCTACACCATGTCCGTTCCTATCTTGCTTCGCAAGTTGGAAACTATGGGTATACGCGGTACTTCACTTGACTGGTTCTGCAGTTATTTAACAAATCGTCATTAGTGCGTTGGGGTGGGATCCACAATTAGTGACCGGTGCCGCATCAAGGTTGCCATTCCCCAGGACAGTATTCTGGGCAGACACTATTCTGCATTTATATGAATAAAATTCTAAATATTTCAATGACAAACGCGGCAGTCATGTGTTACGCAGATGACACCGTGATAATCTTTTCCAATATATCGTGGTCAAGTGCAATAACAACTGATGAACATGGCATGACTCTCATTGCAAAACGGCTAGACAAAAATCTGCTCACCCTTAATTTAAAAAAGACGGTTTTTACAAGACACTTGCATCAAAATTCCCGGTAGGACACACTTTGAAAATTCATTTCTGTAGTTCTAGTGACCGAGTAAATTGTAGCTGCGGCACCATAGACTCTATTTGATATCTAGGAGTCATATTTGGATGAACGTCAAACATACGGCAATCTATGTAATTGCCGTATGTTAGACTGTCAGGTTATGCAGGTATGTTATCCACTTGTCAGGTAGAATTAGTAAATCTATTTACGTCTTAAAATCCCTTACAGGCTATGTATCTCCGTCCCAAAGTGTACAATAAAATTTGTCAGATACACACATTAATAAATTAACTACAAGTAAAGCGACTGATAACAAGATGGTGGCTGAATCTTTCATATGACGAAACTGAACCCATTCTTCCTAATCAAGGACAATAGAGGCAAAGCATACCACAAAACACACATTCACAAGTATACACACAATCGAAGACACACACACACACACACACACACACACAAATACACGCGCAGACACGAACACACGCGCAGACACACACACACGCCCAGCCACACAGCCAACCGACGACCGACCGATGCTCTCCGAGACAGGGAGGGGTCTCAGTGTGTTAAGAATGGTCACCTATCCATAGACTGACCTCGCTAAGATTGCCTAACTTTACAATGTGTTAACCTACTCGATTACCACTTAGCCACGAGCCCCCTTATATAACATAATTAATCATAAACTGAAAGTAATGAATCAATGTTATCATATTATCCGGTTATAGGTGTGTGACGAGAAGTGATTAATCAAATATAGGAATAAGATAATGTTAATTTGTATCTGTAATTCTAACTGTAATTTGATCTAATAGTTTTAATGACAAAGAAGATCATTTATAGTGATATAAATTTCTATAAATAAAGAAAATTAACCAATGGAAAAGTAAGACCTTAGTATAATAATCCTGTGTTCATTGGGAACGTTAAAGGGAACGTTTAAAGTTTGTTTTCCACAACAGACCTTTGGGAGCCGTTATCTCTCCGCCAATTGTGTCACAACAATGTTACCAACCATAATCCTATCCCCCCGCATATATGTACCTAACTCTGGTGACTGTACTCGGAAAAGCCTTAAAAACTACAACTCTATTCTAGAATTGGTGGCAAGCTGCCTTTTGTAACATACATCCAGTCAGGCAGTTTCAATGGGGATAAAATAGGCTGTGCTCTACCTTCCAAAAATCCCGGAACGAAGACTTACGTGTCAGGTGCAAATATTTTCCTATTTTAAATGCCAGTAAAAAAAGTTTCATATTTTAAGTAAATAGATATTACTAGTAGATGTTAGGTACTTGACATCACAAAAACTAAGATTAATTTACTTATGTAAAGAGTAACAGAAATGTACCAGAATGGTATCACATAAGTCAGGAGAACCGTAAATTTTATTACAGAAGATTAGATAAAAAAAACAGTATCTCAGTGTTTCTTGATGTTATTTGTTGTGTGCAAAGGTTTAGTAAATTCTATGAATATTAGGTGTGTTAGTTGAAATTTATACAAATTTTATGGTATACGGGGCAAAGGAGCAGGGTCACCAGATGGTTGGTGACTACTGCCACCAGTGGAAATCTCCAACTCAAAAGAAACTTATCAGTTGCCGCCATTTGAACGAATGGTAGAATTACTTATTACCGGTTTTCTATTAGATTGAGGCATTATTCCGGTCGAGCCGGTCCATACATTCCGAAGCATGGTTCACCCACATTTATAATAACTTGTCATACTAAGCACAAAAAGTGTTAAAATTAAACCTATTTCAATTTAACGTTAGCAATATCTGCCTTATCAGGTTAGAATATTCCGCTATAAATTGTTGAAACACACTTTACGTCTGAAACTTTTATTTTACTAAAATGGTTTCATCTACAAGGTACTCAAAAGAACAAGATCAATATTTACCTTTCTTCTGTGTTTCTTTTATTTATTCTAGATGACGACTTGCGATCTCTTACAACACGTATCATATGTATGTATGTATAAGGCTGTTTGTCCACTGAATGCAGTTTATTTGAAACAGACATGGGTTAACCTTGTATTTCGTGTCGCGATCTACCGCGCGATCTACTGTGGGTGCAGACTAGGCTCACTCCTCCGTTTTTTCACCCCTTACAGTTAAATGTATTCGCTAGACGTTCTCGGCTCACGAATTCATGGTTTGCATAGATTATGCCATTATAGATACATATAATAATCTATTAAAGTAAGTAAGTATTAGACCGTGACCGGAACTTGAGAAACTTGGAACTACTTGTACTAGAAAACTTGTAGCGGCTTATTAACTCACTTAAATTTTCAATTTGAAAACATTGCGCAAACTTGTAACATCATAGTATAACCTAAAAATAGCAGGGTATTAATAAAAGCGCGGCTAAACGCAGTAACATATAATATTATATTAGTTAGACGTTTATGACTTTACAAGTGTCTATATTCAGAGTAGGGTATAAAGTAATATTCTCTCAGAATATTCATATTTCCTATTTTACTCTCAAAATATTTACTTACCTTTAATGTTTGTCCTTTGATGTTTATAGATAAAAAGTTAGGTTATGTACAAATCTATAGACTTGTATACAACCTTTTTATAGACTTGTTTGTACTCCGGCATTTTTATTAATTTATAGAAACTACTGATTACTATTAGATGTGGCTATGATGCGTTATTGAACGAGTGCACTTAGAACTGAGGTAATTCTCAAAAAGAGAGTCAAAATTCGGTTATTGTGTTATTTTCTTTTTCGTTTTTATCGAGTGCTAGTACTGTTCTTGTATTTAGCCAATAGATTTATTAATTTTATGAAAAGATTTTCCGGTCAGAGTTTGATAAAAAGACTTGGTCAGATTTAAACGAGAAAAAGACTTAATTCCTTAAATATTCTAATTCTAAATATAGTAATTCTAACCTTCAAGATTAGAATGGTAAATGTTGAAAGAAGTCAAGATAAATTAATTGCCGAGGTTATGACGAGTATGAACAAATTTTAAATCTTGAATTATTAAGTGGATAAGAACTCTCGATTAAGTCACATTTCAAACAAATAAAAATCAAAATTGGTCTATCCTTTTAGCAGTTGTGCGACAGACACTGATCCACACTCTTAACTTATTACAACTTTTTGGTGGTAAAGGAGGTTCACATAACTAATGAAACCGCCTACTTTGAAGCAATCATGGTGTCTCTGGGACATCTTTTTAACCAAGTTAACTCTACCTGAATTCCAGGTGGAATTCGACTGCCTTGTTTTGCGGGGCCCGTAGACGATGGACCAGGCACCGGTAAGTGCAAGTCGGTCAATCGTCGCCCTTGCATTAACCTTGATTTATTATTTTGGTTATGGTCAAGATAGTAGGAAAAATACTTAAAAAAAAACAAAAAAGTTGTCCTTTCCAAGAAAATGGACGGGTAAAACTGGGTACGGCGTCAACAACTCTATGAAGAACTGTTGCTCAGTCACGGTTACTATGGTATACGTTGCCAATTTGTAATTGAAAAAGAATATTAATTTGTCATGGAAAAGGCCTCTCCTGAGAAAGAAGGTTTTGACCTACTAAACCATGCTGGCCAGACGGGTTGGTATAGGGTTTTTTTTTCAAGTTTTACAGTGCTGTTGTCCTACGTAGTTTGCTCCCTTAGTCAGCTCTCACGACACCCACGTTATGAATAAGGGTGGTAACACTCCGTATTCTTAATCCGTCAACACACATGTACAGGTCTATATATTATATATTTTTTTTATCAAAGGGAATACTATTCGTAGGTCTATTGGTTGCAGGTTTTGGTTTCTGTATTATTTCTGCTCGTCTATATCCACTATACTTGTTTCTCCTGCAATAACATTCTACCAGCTCAAGGTAAAGCTTAGTAAATATCATACCGAAAATGTTTTAGTGATAGTTTAGCTTTATTTTCTCTTTTGTATAGCACACATGCATTTATTATATTACGTCTTGTAAGAGCATTGATTGGTGGAAATATAGCAACTGATGGTGAAGGCAATGAATGTAGGAATGGCATCATAGTTGTTTGTTGAAGGGGAATTCATCCAATGTGGGCGTTAATGGTACATTTCATCGATGATACGAGCGGTACCCTTAATATCTTCGTCACTGCCTAAAATGTTAAGGTTTTCATAAGAAGAATCCAATGATGGTGAGTGAACGAAAATTACTGATTTTCGGCAATGGGTACTGTGGTGCCCGTTATTTAAAGTCATTAAATTTCGTTTAACTTGGCCACGGGAACCACGGGGTACATACACAAATTCTATACTATAACGTTTTTTATTTGAATTAAATGATATCAAATCTTATCATAATAAATTGTTTGTTATTTACACTCTCAATATACCACGCAAATAAAAGTTGTTTATAGTCCATCAACGTCGTGCGCGACCGTCCTGCGGGGTGACAGACGGTGGCGGGGACGAGGTATTCAAGATGTCAGCGGGTAGCGGGTGGTGTAGTGGGGAAGGGAAACGCTTCTCTTCGTGTGTAGCCGTGTGCTAGAATGACGCGCTACCTCGCCCCCGCCACTGTCTGTCACCCCGCAGGACGGTCGCGCACGAGATTGCCGGGTTATAGTGTAAAGTTTATAGGAAATACACTAAAAAGTTTACCCGAGCTGGAGCAACATGTCGCCGCACGAGATCATTTTGACTTTCATGAATAGATTTCAGGATTGACAGCTCAATGTTTTTTTTACATAACTTTAAAATATCTTTAATCTTTCTAAATGTTAAAATTACTTGTACTGTTAAAAATAAGTAGTAAATACTTTTTATAACTAACATATCCTGGGAGACCCTGAATCACTTTAAGGGGTAACGTGGGAGAGCCATGCTTCGGCACATATGGGCTAGCCTCGACCGGAGTGCCACGGCCTCACAGAAAACCGGTTTAGTAAAGCAGTTTAGAAAAGCAGTTCTTTCTGTGTGAGGTAACCCTCCTGCTCCCCCTGATTAATATCTTAATAAGGTGTCACGTCTGCTCGTTTGTCCTCCCCTCCTAAATCTTAAAGAACCTTGGCGGAGGCAAGATCTAACGCACCGGCCAAGCACGAGGTTTTTCCTACTAACATATTCCTAGAAGATGGCAGTAGAGCTCCTGTTTGATGTTGACCCGTGGGGGTAGCCACACGTTAAAAAAAAACAGTAATTGACAGAGAAAATGAGAGCCTACTATAATTTATATACACTTACGAGTATTATAATTCGGGCGAACTACTGATGCGCTAACATTTTGTTTTCCTTGCCCATTTGTCTAAAACTATTAACGCAAGCACTATTTAACCTAAATATTAATAATTAGAATATAAAATATGATATCACTACTTGCGTGTGACTTATCTCAAATATACTACAATTATGTAAAATGTACAACCTACACGCCTTACCTGCTGAACTTAACTACAATTTAGCACGAAAATTGTGACAACACTGCCTTTTTAATCTCAAAGTATTAGTACCTACGCGCAACAAATTGGCTCATCGCCTATTAGACACAACTTTGCATAACGCTTAGATATACATTTACGAGTATGTTGGCGTGCAATGGGAGAGGCCTATATCCAGCAGTGGACTGCGATAGGCTGATGATGATGATGATGTATTTGCAAACATTATGTAACTGTATGGATATAGTCTGCGTATGTAGTTTATGGTACGTATTAACTTAAAAAATTTGACTACTTATAAGCCTTTTTGTACCTAGTCACCTTAAGCCTAAACGCCTAATAAAACTAATGGTGTTCTTGTTTGTTTCGTCGTTAAACGTCAAGTAAGATCGTCAATTAATCTTATATTCCTGTTAAAATGAATCGGACCGTATGTTTTTTTTAAGCTCTCCTTAATTTACAACCTATTCGAATACAAACAATGAATGCAATATTGTTATAATATATTATTTCACCTAGAAAAAGTTACTCCTCCTTAGAGAAAATGAATCGATTTGAACTATTAATATATATAAGGACTTTTTTTTCTATATACTTAAACCGTATATTATATGCCCTTGTTCACTTGACACGGATGCGAGAGAGCCCTGATATACGGCCCTCGTCGGACCCGAAACCAATCAGGCATGCGGGATATACACACGCAAATAAAACCAAATGTATATTTTGAATAAATATCTTAAAACTTTTAAAAGTTGAAGTTTATCGTTTAAGCTAATCTCGTACTTATACAAATTCACGCCACTCTCCAACTGAAACAGTCACGAAACAACAAGACTTTGTTTCGGCAATTACAAACCTCTCAAGCCTCCCCCTTCCTTTTCATTAGACCTTTACGGATGTCATTTCCGGTGCTTCGTCTTAAGGAAATCTTAAGGGATATTATGAATAATGATAGTGTGGTGGGTGGTTTATCCTTTTTCACCGAAAAACGGTTTGACGTCTCCGTTATAAACGAGTAAGAATTTAAGAGACCGAAAATCACATAGTTTAGGTATGACCATTTTTTCCATTTTGACCATTTAAAAAGAAAGTATCCTAGGGCTTGTACTAAATAAATAAGTGTATCTAAATATAGAATGTGTATACGTGCTTGTATGTGTGTGCTTATGAGTATGATCAAAAATAATATGCACCGGGGATAGTGGAGATAAACATTTTCGATGTAGATACTTCAAAATTCGATTAAATTCATAGGCAATAATTTTGCAGAAACAGAATAGACATGTAATAGGTACTATTTTCTTGACATAAAACCAGTATACTCGATTGGTCTCTATATCATAAAGAAATATGAATGTGGGGGCAGTGTACGCGCACCATGGATGCAGCGTACGCCAACCGGTCCAACGGGCAGCGCGCGCGCTCCAACGGCAGACGGCCGCCGCGCATCGCCAGTGCTATCCAGACCGTCCTAGCGCACCCCCGCGTCACTCTGTGTTAGCTCTGCCACCGAACATTTACGCGAATAACCGTTTATCTGCACAGTTTTATTCTATCTCGTCTATCTTTTATTGTACTTTCTTCTCCTAATATAATTGTTGTAATTTCTTCCGTCTCTGTGTTTTCTTCCGACGCCTGCAACCTTCTGTCGAGTCGATATCATTAGCAGCCGAACAGACTCAACCCAACGGCTAGCTATACTGGTGACCCGCGCGTTAGAACATAGGAAGATGCCTAACGATCACGACCAAGTGGGATCGGCGCCCGCGCAACCGCGCACAACGGCTACGGACGACGATACAAAAACCGTTTTCCGTGTGGGTGTGAAGATACCGCCATTTTGGCCGGAGGACGCAGCATTATGGTTCGCACAGCTGGAAGGTCAGTTCTGAATTTCTAATATTACTGCCGATGCTACTAAATTTCACCACGTAGTTTCTCAGCTAGAGTATAATATAGCAGCTGAGGTTAAAGACATAATAATATCGCCGCCAGCTACAGATAAATATAATAAACTTAAAAATACGCTAATTAATCGCTTATCACAGTCACGTGACCAACGGCTTAAACAATTATTGATGCACGAGGAGCTTGGCGACAGAAAGCCATCGCAATTATTGCGTCATATGCAATCGCTGGCTGGAACCACGAGCGATCCTAACGGTTTCGTTCGCACTATGTGGATTAGCAGACTACCCACTAATATACAAACTGTACTTGCTTGTCAGGAAGATTCGTCGTTGGAAATCCTAGCGACATTAGCGGATAGAGTGCACGAGGTCGTGACTCCGCTAGCTCCCACGCAGCACGTCGCAGCAGCCAGCGGTTCCAGCACCCGGATGACGTCACAAAGCACGAACGTCGCGCAAGGTAACAACGAATTGCAAAGGCAAGTAGCAGAACTGACCAGGCAAGTAGCATCACTCATGGCAGAGAAGCGATCTTGGCAAGGCAGCCGCTCCCGCAGCAAGCAACGTGGAAGGTACCATAGTCGCTCCCGTTCCCGCTCCCGCTCAGGTAGGGAAAACCCTGGTTATTGCTGGTATCACAATAATTTTGGCGTAAAGGCGAGAAAATGTGAGACTCCCTGTACCTACAAGTCGGAAAACGCCAAAGGCAGTCCCTAATGGCGGTGAACGACTGCTCCCAATCATCTGGCCGCCTATTCATCACCGATTTGGACACGAAGGTACAGTTTCTGATAGATACCGGTTCAGACCTGTGCGTTTACCCAAGGGCAGCCATACAAGAACGCCGTAAAAAATCAGATTACGTGCTGTGTGCAGCCAACGGCTCGCCAATCCCTACCTACGGCACCATACACCTGGAACTGAACCTAGGACTACGTCGCGCTTACTCCTGGAACTTCGTCATTGCAGACGTCACCAAGCCCATAGTAGGCGTAGACTTCCTGA